TTTGAAAATAAAATGTATATATGGCAGGAAATCACATGTATTATTAGTCATTTCCATTAAATCAGTGTCAAAAGGTCTTGAAACAATATTATCGTTTATCGCAATAATTTTTTAGACAATTAATCGCTCAGCAAAATTTGTTATCGTGACAGGCCTAATGACATATCGTGTGATTAAACCTGTTCATGTTTGATTTTAATCACGTTTCGTAGTGGAAACGCCACCATTGCTAAATTGTGTTTATTCCACATTAGTGGAATATTGACAACGTTTTGCGCTCATTTGTAATGGAAACGCAGCTATTGACTGGACTCAGAAATCACCTGATTGTGCTGTTTTTAAGTAGAGCTGTTCTGTATTGGCCAGACCGCTATGGATTACTTGTGGTCTACACAAATGTGACCAGTATGGAAAAGTAGCATTAAAAATAAAATGGTGGTGAAAGAAAATCATAACAAGTGAGACCAAAATACAACTTTTTTCATTCATTTATTATTTTTTACTTTAGTGCAAAACATTGTGTGGAGGAAAACTAACACTGTGCATCACCCTCAGCACACTATCCCCAAACAGGAAGTGGCTCCATCACGCTGTGGGGATGCATTTCTTATTCACTGACAGGGAAGCTGGTCAAAATGAATGAGATTCTGATCAGGAGGTGATTACACTGTAATCCTGGAAAAAACTAATTTTTTCCACATTATAGTACTTTTCTACTTTGTTAGTCTATCAGCTAAAATCCCTGTAAAACACACTGAAACTGTTTGCTGTCATGTGAAAAAATGATGCACCAAGGTCACAAACATGATTAAAAAGTAGTAAATTCCCTAGAAATGTAGTTAGCTCTTCGTTTCTTTAAACGGAATGAGAATCGAAGGTACTTTGTGCACTGACTGGTATTTTTAAACAAAGTACTCCACTCCCATTTTCCTACAATCTATAGTTTGTTGGATCGCAGAGAAAACATCTCCTCTGTGCGACGACTCCAAGCCAATTAGTGGATATATGCCAGATGAGCATTTTCCATTTAGGCATATTTTGAAAGTGCACTCAGATTGCCTAGCAACTGTACGAATACAGTGCTTTCTGAGACAAGGAATCATTTGTATAAGGTGGGTATTTAAACTGAACGGGAAGCTGTTTGCCAGGATTGACATATTATGCCAAATTTCTGCAGATAATCTTCATTTCATAACTCCAGATATCAGCGTTTTATCTTTGCACAATGCATTTTTCTGAATACAAATTAACTCAAAATTAGCCTGCTTGTGTGATATCACCTCTGAGACTAATCCGGTTTTTATTCAGTGTATGCATTTATCATGATTTTTCTTTATTTTATTCCCCCGCCGTTTTTGACCTGTTTCTTACTGTGATTCTCTTCACCCAACCAGCACGGCGTCATAACAACAGAGGAAGATCAGTATTTAATAGAGCCTTTAAAGAACACGTCCTCCGCCGCCTCCAGTGAGTGGAACCTGGACGGAGCGCAGCAACATGTTATTTATAAAACGTCTGCCATCCCCTCGCCGCAAGAGCAAAGCCAGGAGTTCAGCTGTGGCATTTCAGGTTGGTGAACCTCCATCTGGGTTGGATTCTGTGTGGGTGTAGCTGACGTAAAGGAAGAGCTAAACATAGCAGGTCAGAGGAAATGCTGGTTTGGTACCAGGCCCGGGTTCTGGTAGGCATAACTGGACCTCTTGTGTGCCAAAACGAGCTCCTGCGGCAAACACCTTTCAACCTGCAGGAGTAAGCGTCACTTTGACTCTCACAAAAGCCCCTTCAGGAGGGAGGCAGTGCCGCTCAAAAGTGTCCAGCTCTTTCACGTTTTGTTGCATAGCGACCACAAACTTTGGTGTATCTCGTTGGGATGTTCTGTGACAGACCAACATGAAGCAGAGTGCAGTTGTGAAGAGATAGACCGCAGTTTTCAAACTATGTTACAAATAAAAATGGTAGGAGTTCATCCCCCTGAGCTAAAACTGTCTTTGTAGTTTCAGATGGAAATGTTTTGGAGTATTTCTTTGTCTGCTTTGCTTTTCTAAATACTGGTGTTTTATCCTGTGTTCTCTCCAAAATACTCAATCAGGTTGGATGGAGAGGGTTGGTGTTCATCAACGGCTTTTTCAATTGAAGTCACTTGCTGACTTTCAATGGATCAAATTAATACCCTGTCATCTATTTAATCATAGCTCCAGTTCTATGCTTTGGGTCGTTGTCATGCAGGAATGTGAACCTTCGCCTCAGTCTCACGTCTTTTAGTCCTAAAATGTTGTATGTAGCTCCATTAATCCCTCTGTCAGCTCGGAAAATCATCCACACTGAATGATGTTGCCACCACCACGTTTCATGATGACGATGCTGTGATGTGCAGCGTTAGATTTTCCCCTCATGGATCTATTTGGAACAATTGGTTTTGGGTGTCAACATCTTCTTCCACATGTTTGCTGTGTTCAAATTGGACTTGGTGTGGCTTTCCTTCCACAGTGCCTTTCATACAGGCTAAATATGTGGAGTCCCCAGAGGATTTTCCCAGCTTTGATTTTCTGCAGTTCCTCCATAGCATTTTTGTTGCAATCCAGCCTCTCGTTTACACATCACCAGTGATCGGAGTGTTTTTTGACACTGTGTCTCACAGGGACACTTTTCAGTAACACCTCCCGCAAAAATGTGAAGTACTCCATGTAAAGTAAGGCTTAGGGTACAGCCGTATGGCGTAGGGTGTGTGCCGTACCAATAAGGGACAAGGCCTTATTGTTTCCAATATGAAGTGGAAGATGAGGGTCCAAAGCGTATGCACGTTTTCACGACGCTCTAAAAACACAGCAACATCTAGTGTCCTGGCATGACAACTACATTAAAGTCGAGGTGTCATGGCGGTCTCGTCTTCCCCAATCAACATCCGAAAATAACATCCGGCAGTTTCCAGACAGTGGTCTCATGTAAACATAGCCTTAGGTTACCTTACGTTCTGGTTATAAATGCATGCCAGTTTTCAGATTTTCAAGTGTAAAATTGTTGAAAAGCCTCGTGTAGTTTCCTTTCACTTTTCAATGATGTGATACCTTGTGTAGATTTTATTCACATAAAATCTGAATACATCAAAGATTGTAACGGAAAAAAACATGAAGAAGTTCAAGGAATATGAAAACATTTACAAGGTGCTTCCAGTAGTAACTGCATCTGACATTTTAGAAGCAATAACCATTTATAATAGGATAATTGTTTCTAAAGGGGGAAAAAAATACATATCTATGCATATGTACTGCAAATTAGAAAAAAGACCCAGGTGGATACTTTGGTATTTAGGCCAAGAGCTTTATAAGAAGCAGAAAAGACTTGTCATTGGCTGGAAGCTAGCGTGCGCTAACACGTACCACGTTAAGGCTCCTCCTGCAGCATCTGGGTCATAAAACAAACGCTGCAAAGGTTCAAAGGGGAGCATCGCCTCTATCAACCAGTCCTCTCTGATAACAATGTGTCGTCATTCCGATTGTCCTGTTGCCGCGTCGTAACTCTCTCTCTCTCTTTGCCTCCCTGTCATTCACAGACCTCACTAAAAGCAACGCACCTTGCCAGTTTAGCACGTCCTCCCCTGCCCACCTGTCCCCTGTCCCTCAAAACGCCAGCCAGCAGCCGGCTGGCGCTCACAGGCGGCGGAGGTCTGTCAGCTCCGAGCGCTTCGTGGAGACGCTCGTGGTCGCCGACAAGATGATGGTCGGCTACCATGGACGCAAAGACATAGAGCACTACATCCTGTCTGTGATGAATATTGTAAGTTTGGTCCTACTCTTTGCTCTAACGTGTTGCAGATGTCCGCGGTTAGCGGTGGATTTATGGACTCGCGGGGCTAAGACATCTGACTTTGTGTCTTTCCTTCTTTTCTGGAGGTCAGGTTGCCAAACTGTACCGTGATTTCAGCCTGGGAAATGTTGTGAACATTATTGTGACCCGTCTAATTGTTCTCACGGAGGACCAGGTACGTCCGAGTCTCTTTTCCCTAAGCCTGAATCATTCACCTTTTCAAGTGTGAGCTCTCTTGTCTGCAGTGGATGTAAAGATGGATGCTCTTGGCATCAGTGAGCTGCCGTATTTTTATTTGACTGCCGTGGCTAAAGGGGCAGAGGGAAGACAGACCACTCACCATATGGACAGTGCTTTACATGAAAGCCGCGGTCCAGCGTCGCTCCTCAGGGAGATTTGATTAAAGGTTTTAGATGCACAGAACATACAGTACGGTTGATGGGAGAAACATCTGCTTTTTCAAAGATACCTACAGTTGGATCCACATATTTACATATGCTGAATAAAACGACACAAAAAATTTTTTCCCGCCATCTGAAATTAAATCAGACCAAACTTTTCTTGTCTTAGCTTTGCTAGAATTACCAAAATTATTTCCATTTGCTAAATGCCAGAAAACATTTTTTATTTTAGAAACATTTTTGTAACTTTCCTTGAATTCAAATGTTTTTACATTTGACCAGTTTAATCAGGAATAACCATCATTTAAACTGCATGACTTGTGTCAAACATGTCGGCAATTTTAACTAAATTTGGTCTGATTTAAATTTAGATGGCAAGAAAAAAAAACACTATAGTTTATATACTCTGCCCACATGAAAACAAAAATATTATCCTTATATATATTTATATAAATAAAAAACTTATGATGCTTCATTCAAAATGAGATATTATAAAATCGGCAAATCCCAAAAAGAGATCAAGCTTTTAAACAGAATCTAATAATTACATCCAACATGTAACAGATGATAAGAATGCGTGAACAGATGGGCCACAGCAGAAGACAGGATGGTGTTGTGTTGATCTGAGCAGGTTTGTACTGTTTGCATCACTTGACTGTATACAGCTGTTTCATGCTGCACTGTGTTGCACGTGTGTCTCTCCCAGCCAAACCTGGAAATTAATCATCATGCTGACAAGTCTCTGGACAGTTTCTGTAAGTGGCAAAGATCCATCCTGTCTCATCACAGCAGCGGGAACAGCATTCCCGAGAACGGAATGGCTCATCACGACAACGCCGTCCTAATCACCCGGTAAGAGTTGGCCCGCAGCTGCTGCTGCCGCTACAGACGTAGCTTACTGCCAGCACAGCCATCCAGCGTTCGATTCAGTGTAATTGTCTCATTTTAGAGCAAATAGCTTGCAGGTTACTCAGCAGTCGCCAGCTATGCGCTACCGGTTCAGTCCGGTTCACATCCATACAGTATGTATACCTGCCTGTAAGGGCGTAAAGAGCTCGGTCCTGGAAATAAATTGTACTTTTACAGACGTACTGTACCTGTCACCCTGCAATTTATGTCAAGGCTGTTAGCATAAAGCAGCAAGAATTCTGACGTTAGCTGGAAAATGGCTTCAATGTGTCCAGAAGTGTTTTGGCCAGGTTACGTAGCAACTGGAAACTGTATTCTCCTTCTGGTTTGCTCTGGAGAGGAAGGCTTTGATTGACAGGAGTTTTTGGTTTCTGTACAGAAAACAGCTTTTCCATCATTAGTGAACACTTTCATGTTGTCTGTCACTTGATATTCTCCAGGCTCTTTTTGCTTTTTATCAGGTCTAGCTGAGCTTGGTAAGCACAAGAAGCTGCGTTCACCAGACAGAAGGCAGTAACTCGTGTTGCAGAATAAAATGTTTAAACATGTCAACTTCTGAGGGGTAGGAGGCCAAATTAGGCATAGAGAAGAGTCAGATTTATTTTAATTAGGGCTGTCACCATTATAAATGTGCGCAAAATGCAGTCAAAATCACAAGTGAATAAGTTTGTTTATGCAATATCTTTAAAAACATGATCCTCCATCTACGTCCTGTTGTCTTCTTCGCAGAAGTAGAAACATTTGGTTATTGATCACGTTACTTGTGATGTGAACAAGTGTTTCCATTGCAGTTTTGCAAAATAAACCAATTTTATTACCGGCAAAAGTCCACCTCATACTAGCGCCAAACCTTTTTTTTTTTTTAAATCAAAAATGAGTTTTTTTTATTTAAATGGCTATGTTTCCGTTAAGAAATTTCATTTTAAAAATGTCAAATTATATACACAATTATATGGCCGACGGGAACGCAACTAATGTTAATGCGCCAACACATGCAATTAATCTAAAATGTTTAATGTGTTGCTATTACATAAACCAGATTAATCCTTTTGCCTATCTTGAACTAAAAGCCTCTGTTTTCTGAAGGGTTTCCTAGTTCAAAGTAGCGCGGGCGTTACACAGTCTTGTACTGCGTTCAACAAAGCAGAGTCAAAACTGGAAGTGCAAAGATGAACAAGGAGAGTCAGACTGGTGTGCTCAGTGGCAAATTTTGCTTTAAGAATCACCACGTCTAGAGCGGGCGCCCCGCATGCAGAGGCTATAGGCTGTGACTCTTGAGTTCAAGTCCTGGCTTTGGTTTCTTTGCTGCATACTTTCTTCCCCTTTTTTCCTCTTTCTGTCACATTAATGTTGAATAAAGTCCACTAGTGCAACAAAATGTAAAAAACAACATCCAGACAACCAAAAAACCCCACTGTGATGGACGTTTGAATAAAATCAAGGTAGCCTACTTATTGCAACAGTGAATTATCCTTCCATCGAAGCACAACCAGTTTATAATAAACATTTCTAAATTACGTTTGAAACAAAATGACTTCTTTTAAATGTTGCTCAATGTGAAAACTTGTGATGTTTGGTATGAGACAGTAAAACACTTTGTAAAACATTTTCTGAAAATGTGCATTTTGACTTTTCACGCTTACAAAGCGCAGTGAAACACACAGAAGGACAAAAGAGAAGTTCTACAAAAGCTAAAATCTGACGTTACTCCATTTTTATTTAGATTTGGTGAAGAAGGAAGTTGCGCTCAGTGTCTTCTTTGGAGGTTTTCATGTCATTTCCTTGAGTGGTTTTTGGTGCAGCGCCACCTCAGGTGTAGAGGGGAACAGTTTGCTCAAAGGGTTTGGTTCATTTGACACAGTGAAGTGTTGAAAAGGGAAATATGACCCATCAGGCTCAGAAAACGGCAAAGATTGAGGGAATCAATCAAAAACAAATAAATGTCGTGAAGGTGACTGTGACTCTAAAAGGGAAGAAGGTCGCAGAAAAGGAGAACAAGGCGGAAATTCAGTTAGTGGCGCTCTTGAATTTAATAGATTAAAAGCTTCAGCAATGATTGGATCCTTCATTTGAAATGTATGTGTTGTTCTACCGTCGCAGTCTTCTTCCACTCTATTGGATTACGTCCGTGTGGCGTTATCGCCGACCGAAGCCTTTCTGTTTACTCTACTTTGCGTTGGAGCGCTGTAGCTCTGTAGCTAAGGCTGCAGAAAGCTCCAGCAGTGGACGGAGGAGGGAACCAGGTGTTTTTCTAGAAGCAAACCTGTCATGACTTCACCATTGTTATACTAAAGGCTGAGATTATATCTGGCCAGACTGTGATTAAACAGAGAAAGAATGGAATGGCCAGGAGCCAGCGGAGAAAAAGCTGCGTAGACGTGAAAAGAAAATGGTTAATTTAACGTTAATATTTGTGTTTGTCTTCTTTTTTTTCTTTTTTTTTTTTTCTTTTTTTTTTTTTGATATGACATCTGCACCTACAAGAACAAACCCTGCGGGACTTTAGGTGAGTTGTTTAACTTCACTCGTGATGACTAGTTATGTTGGTTTTCTCGTTTGGCCTTCAGCTTGTCCTCAGACAAACCTTATTTAGCAACTTTGTGTGACTCCTTCAGAAGAACTCCAGACGGTTCCTGTGAGACATAATGAGAAGGATGTTTTAACTTGTGTTAATGTAGCTCCTCTATTTTCCCCCCATGCTTGTTAGCTGAGGCCGGGAGTCCAGAACCTGGACCAGTTGTGGTCAACTCCTCTTAGGTTCCTCCAGTTCATAAAACTCCTCCGTATCTGTCCTTCAGCTCTAACCTCCGTTTGTTTAAGGTGTTTGCAAAGAGAGGGTAGGGTGTTGGGGAGGGGAGAGGAATGGTAGGGGTGTTGGAGTGAGCTAGAAAGAGGAGATGGACTGCAAGTCGAGGATGTGGAGTTGAAAGGGAAATGGAAGGGGAAAGAGACAATTACAGGGAGTGTTAGGGAATGATGGGGTGGGGGTGAGTAGGGTGGGAAAGGACATCAACCAGTGGCAAACTGCCCCTTCAACTCCACCTCAAACCTCCTCGCTGTCCATCTCTCCCCGTCTTATCTGGGCGAAGGCCCCGCAGGCTCCACAGTATATCTCGGAGGTAATATCGTGACCTCAGGGGTGCTTTGACAGATTGACCGCATTCATCACATTCCCCCCGGTCGCCTTAATTGCCCCGGCATCTGCTCGGCTTCCTCGCCGTCCCTCTCTTCACTCCGCTCCCCTCCCCTCTGCCTCGCTCTCCCTCTCTTCGTCGGGGATCACGCTCGGAGGTCAGATCAACAGACCTTTAGGGTCGCCGAGTAATCACGGGGCTGGAAGATAATGCGCAGTACAGCCTGGTGTTAAGAAAACAGCCTTCAGTGCGGTGTGTGTTTGCACTCAACACACTCTTATCCCCTCCCCGTCCTCTCAATCCCAACACACACAAACATTCTCAGGCTAATCGTAGAGTAGCCACCCTCCTTCCTTTCCCCTCCCTCACCTCCTTCTTTCTTCACCTTCAGGCTCCCTCTTTCCACTCCACGGTAATGGTTTCAGTAACCTCCTGATTTGCGAGTCTATTCTTGTTTTAGCCTCTTAGCGAAGAGGATACTAAAGCAAAGCCACCTTAAGTAGGGAGTTCTGTTAATGTGGAACAGTGTTTACCGCCAGTCCAGGAGGTGGAAAGGCAAGCAGAGCTGTCCTTGTTGTGAATACGGTGACAGATCAGGCTAACTTTGGCATGAAGCGCATCCTCCGTTGGTCCTTCACATGACGACAGCTGATCTTGATGTATTTTATTTGGATTTGATGTGATAGGACAACAGAAAGTAGCATATTATTGTGAAGTAGGGGAAAGTGATACATGTCTTTGGGGTATGTCTACCAGTTTTGGACACAAAAAGATTCCTTTTGTCCATTTGTTCTTGCAAAATAGGGAAAGTCACTGCTTCCCCACGTCGAAAGGATTCAGTTGAGGTTCTGGTCAGGGAGCCACCAGTTCGTCTCCCTGTGAACGTTTTTCTGGCGTGTTTTGGGGGGGAATACCCAGCACTCGCTTACAATGACGTTTAGGGTTGTAGGGTTTCCCCAAGAGTGTTATAACCTGGGTTGGGCCACCAGGCTTTACCTGCTCCCCCACCCCACCGGGAACTTAAATAGGGTTTTCTAGATGGAGATAACACTGAGTAAATACGGATTAAGCTAGGTTTATAGTTGACATATTGATCTGGTCATGTGATGGGTCGCCCACCAATGGCGGCGTCCCTGCCTCTGCTATAATTTCCAAATTTGATGCCTGCTCGTGCATCTCCGAATTTTTGTAACTTTTAACGTTTTTTAACACAAAAACACGGTGGGCCGCTCGTGGATCGCCGTAGCGCCCCAACACCGGGCTTAGGAAGTTTTCTGGGGGAAACCCTGAATGGTTGAAGAAAGTTCAGGAGGTATGAATACTTTTCAAGGCTCAGTAAGTGAAAGTGCACGCGAGCCAAGAACAACAAGTACGCCTGGATGTTACGGGCCCACGTTCAGTTAAATCATTTCTTCTCGTGTCCTGAATCGTAATAATATTGCTGCTAACTCTTGAGCTTGTAAGTTTTCTTGCAACCAAGTAAGATTCAACTCGATTAGATTAGGCCAGGTGGTCTCGAGCAGCACTGTTTTGTGAAAAAAACCTACCTTTAAAAAAGAGCATGTGAATGGTTTTAGCCAAAGTGAGCCATTACACAATAACTCAACACACACTCTCAAACAGACTCACACACCTGCTTCGTGCTGTTATATGATCCCCTCTCAGGCCGGTAGATGTAATCTGTGAAGAATTGCCAGCGGTCCCCTTATCTGACCTGTCAGGCTTTAGGGGAGAAAAAAAAAAGAAAAAAGAACCTGCGACACCTGGATTGTGGAGCAGTTTTGGCTTTAACCTCACCCTCCCACCCCCAACCTCTTTCCACCTCTCTATGAGGAAAACGGAGACCGTCTGACAGGTTTCTGCTGAGGCACGGCGCTAGCAATCCCTGCCTTTGTAGCCAGTACCCCATGCCGCAAACCTATAGGTATAAATCCATAACCCTGTCCAGACATTTCCTGAGTCTTTTTTTTTTTTCCTAAGTCAGCCATGCGGATGATTTCAAACTAAAATCTCCATCCTGAATCTCCATTTGCGCTTGTTGAGGAATCACCCGTTTTTATGACCATGTCTCCTAAGAATGCACTGCCTTGACCCTGTGTTTGTGTGTCTGTCTGGCGTGTGCGGATCTGCAGGCTTGGCCTCTGTGGCTGGAATGTGTGAGCCGGAGAGAAGCTGCAGCATCAATGAAGACATCGGCCTTGGCTCGGCTTTCACCATCGCACACGAGATCGGCCACAAGTGAGTTCTGAAGGCTTTTTACAACGAGATACTAACGTGAAATATTAGGTTTGACGTTACTCCCCAATGCAAAATGCAGACGAATCAGGCGAAACGAAACGGTCGAGTTTACAAGCGGCTTGTTGGGATTTAAGAGTTTCAATGTCAGGTTTTGTTTGTGTTTCATGGTCTTTATTGTCGTGATTGTAGTAGAAATTCAGCATGTTTGATCTTTGACTCAGAATCGTTTATTTTAAGGTTCAACCAAGAATTGGGTTTGCAAATGATCCTGTAGCTAGACAAGCTACGCACAAAACAATGGTTGCTCTGTTTTTAAAATGTACCATTGTTTGACGTGCTGTCCTTGATTAAATAAAATTGTATCAAATTGAATTGAGTCTCAATCAGATGCTAATTGTGTGGCTCTCTAGAAAATTGAATTTCTTAAAAATATGTCCAAAATTTCTGTGATTGTGCTTTTTTCTAATGACTTTAGCTTGTCTTGCTAAATTTTTGCACTTTAACTTCCTTTCTGTTTTTACATAAACGTCCACCGAATTTCTTGACTTCATTATTAACCCATTCAGGTCAGCTGATTCTTATACCTTTGTACTAGATTTTAAAGCTTTTTCTCTGAATAGTCTTTGATAAGTTTCAGTTCCAGATCTAGTTGAAGTCCATTTTGCAGCAATAACTCAGTTATATGACTTTATCTGCCTGTCAGATTGTTCAGAAAGTTTGACTCATTCTTCTTTGCGACATCGCCCTCTGCTCTCGTGCTTTAACCCAAATCGTCAGCTCTTCACTTCACCCCTCTACTGATTAGCTGGTTAGGATAAATTATCTCTGAACATGTTGTTGTGCATTACAGCCAAACATCTCTGCTGATTGCAGCCTGCACAGGAACTTTCTCAGTATTTCCATTAAATAAGAAATTTGAGTTTCTCCAGTACTTTGGTTTGCGGTCCATGCCGACGTCTCTCTAATTGCCAGAGTTAGCAAATATTAACGCTCTGTAGTATTTATATTTGCCGATTCTGCAAACAGCCGTCCTCCAGGAACCGAACGAAGCGGCTTTTAAACGTAACTTGATATTTGGAAACACGTTCAAGACGGACTGAACGTCTTTGTTCACTTCCTCCACGGCCGTAGACTAAATTTCCAAAACGGCGCAGAAAATCAACGTCATTGCTCACGACTTCCCTTCTGAGAAAGCCCCAACTGGGCGGTGCAGGAAGGCAGTGGCCAAGTTACCAAAAACGCTACTCCAACATGACTGGTGTGCTCACTTGTGGTAAACTCCACACAGGACCTGTGGATCTTTGTGTTGCGTGTTATGAGCCAGAGTCGGGTTTCCAGGCCGTGTCAGTCAGGTGAAGCTTGCCTCGGGTCGTCCCTGAAAACCTTTGATCCTTTTCACAACTCCGACTCCTCGCTCCTAAACAAACATCACCTCCTGCTGCTGCCGACGTATCTCCCACCTACATATCTCTGCTTCTTTCCACCTGAATATAAAGCAAAAAAAAACAAAATAATAACAATAATAATGATGATGTATTAGTCTACGTATCCATCCATGTCGGGGAGAGGTCAGCAAGATGGCGATTTCCTTTATTATGTCTCGTGTCTGCCTCTGTTGCAGGGCGGTTGTAAAAATAGTCTCGGCTGCTGGAGGATGCATAAAAAAAAGAAATAAAAAAAAAAAACATGCGCCGCTTAGCGTGGGCTTCACCCGGCCTGATTTATTTCCAGACTTGGGTAAAATGTCATAAACGCCAGGCTTAGAAAAACAGCTTGAGACTGCACGATGCAGTCGCGTTTGTTATATACATCAGACCTGATTTGTGCTCCTAAAAGTCTGATTTGACATCCTGCTCCGTCGTTCAATTTTCTTTCCAGACAGATAAGGCTTTTGGTTATTTGATGATGATGTTTTTTTTCTCGACATAAATCCTTTCACGTCTGAACACAAGCTGTTCAGGGGTTTCTCTGTTCTCGGATCCAAAGGATTCCTGCGTCCTGGCTGCAGCCGGCCGCCGCTCTCCCCGGCGACCTGCTCAGACCTGCAGGCGCTGATTGACAGGCAGGCATCCGAACGGTGATTAGAACTTTTTTTTTTTTTTTTTTTTGGTTACCGCTGAGCCGCCCAGACAAGGTTTGACCCCTGACCCCTGCCACCACATCTGTTTCAGAGCTCCACTGAGGTGGATGTGTCCTCCTCTTATCAGCAACCTGGAGCTTCTCTCTCTCTCTCTGTGTGTGTGTTTGCAGGAAAAGGCCTGTGGTCGCTCCCGGCTGCGCTCATTCACCTTCCTGTTTTGTGTGTTTCAGCTTCGGAATGAACCACGACGGCATCGGCAACTCCTGCGGCACCAAGGGCCACGAGACGGCCAAGCTGATGGCCGCCCACATAACGGCCAACACCAACCCGTTCTCCTGGTCCGCCTGCAGCAAAGACTACATCACCAGCTTTCTCGAGTAAGTGGATGACGGTCGCTCCCCTCCGTGGGACTGTCTGAGTGGGCTGGCCCTCGCCTGCGTGTGTGTATGTGTGTACTGAGCCGAAGAGGAAAAAGGTGCTTGGATGTTTTCCTGCTCGCTCCCAGATGTCTCGGTTTACAACCTGCTGCCTTCGGCTGCCCCTAGCGTTCCTCGGCGGGTCTCTCTCTCCCTGCCCCGCTTGCTCACGGTCCAGACCTCCTCCTGGCCACCCGTGACGTCGAAGCGCTTTTCACGTTTCGCTGCAAGATCCACTCGAAGGGTTTTCCTCTTTAGGATGTGCACTCAGACCATGTTCCTTTCATTTTTATTTCATTCACTCAGTAAATATCAATAGCTTAGGGCTGCAACTAACGATTATTTTAGTCATCGATTATCAGGACGATTAATCGATTGGTTGGATTTTGAAATTGGCACATTCTGCGGGTTTTTCATTTGCCCTCTTGAACTTTCTGTGAGATTGATTAATCGATTAACAGATTAATTGATTTCATTCACTCATGTAGATATGCTTAGCTCAGGGCTACAACCATTTATTTCAGTTATTGATTATTAGGACGATTAACTGATTAATCAGATTTTTAAAAATTTACACGTTCTGCTGGTTTTTCATTTAACCACTTTAGCCCTTTTGAATGTTGAATATTTCTAATTCAACATTAGAAATATAATTAAAGATGCAAATAAATAAATAATAATAATCTTTAAATAAGGAAATACACTTTAGCCAATAAAATGTTTAATAGTAGTTTTTGTGAAAGTTTGATCGTAGATGGATCACAATAATGAAAATTAGAAATAAGAACATTAAAAACATATATATATAACGAGAATTGGAACCGTGTGAAGCTAAAACTGACAGAGTTCTGTGTAAAACATATTTACAGACAGAGAAGGTTTCTGTTATCCGAAATGCAAAATGTAAAAAATTTTTTTGTACAGTTTTGGCTTAATTTCTGTTTTTTCTTTCATCAAATCACCTCTTTTTGAATCTCTATGCACGAGTTAATCAGTCAATTACTGAGTTAGTTGACGATTATCTCAGTAATCAATTAATCACAATTAATCAATTATTATTAAAGGTTTTCAGCCCGAGAGAAGCTCATGTAACAACTAAAAGAAATCATGAATGAAAAGGAGCACAAAGAAGTAAAACTTTGCATCTGTCACTTTTTCACATGAAAAGAATATTAGCTACTCAACTCTGAATAGTAAAGCATAAAAAAATACACAATAAAGCATCAGCTTATTCAATACCATATAGTTTTGTTATTATTTTCAAATTTCTTTTAAATGCAGATAAAGCTTGTTCCATAAACTGACACCTCTCACTCCAACGCATCTTTCCATCCTACGTTGTTCTGAATCAAAACTTTTTGGCAAATATCTAACTTTGGCTCATTTTCCCTCAGTAACAACTTCCACACTGAAGACCATTGTCACTGGGACCGCGTGTCGCCTTTGCACCGCGCACATCGTCACCGTAAAAGTATTTTCCTGGAAGCGGATAACGGCTCAAAACGATAGAAACTTTTGTAGTCGGGGGGGGAATAATCATCTGCTTGAACTCCACCATACCTGGGAATATACGAGCTTGTTTTTAGGCTGCTCTGGGTTTTTACTGCTGTTTCTTTTTCAACGTTTCACAAAAGAGTTGTGTGTGTAAACTCTAATTATCCTCGGTTTCGCTCTCTCAATCGGAGCGTTGGATGTCGCGCAGGCGTCTCTCTGCCAAGTAAACAACTCTGGCTAAGGTATTGGCCTAGATTCCCCGTCTTGCTTGAACAAGAGTTTTTTGTTGTTGTTTTGTAGAGATGTTTTATGAATACACTCACTCACATTTTAGGAGTCATATATTCTCTAAATTTGCCTGCCAGTTTGTTATAAATCTCCATGGTCAGGAAGTCTATTGAACTCAGTTTTAGTGTTTTTTTTTGGTTGGATGAATCATCCCGCTGGCCCCGGCGCTGCCAGCGTCCTCTCTGTAGTGACATGAATGAACGCCCCGTGAGCTCATTGATCGCTGACTCTGCTGCTTATTAGAGGATGTCTCTGCTTATTCTAATGAATTTGGCCGAGCACAGCAGACAGAAAGCCTTGGCGACCACGTCAGATAGTAACGGTCATGTTTGACGGCGTAATTATTTTCTCGCTCTCTCCACGGAGTCGGCCCAGAGCGCACAGAGAGTCTGGGTTTCTCTCATTGACGACTGATTCCCTCGATGTACAAGATGCGGAGTTGTTGGTTCTCCTTTCTTGAAAACAATGAAATAAAATTTGGACTGGTTGCGTGTTTTACTTCCTTCTTAGGGACAGAAGCAATAGGATGTATGTAAGCTTTTCCCAATAAGCAATAAATCCATTATTTTTATCATAAAATAAAATCAGTCATTTTCATTTGGTTGTTAAAAAGATGCTTCTATTTAATATTGTTGAATTTTGAGAAACATTTTGATACTACAAAGTAGACTGCTTCTTTTTCCAGTTTTCCCCATCTAAGCTGAATGATTATTGGTTTTTTAAATGCAGTTTTTGATACTGAAGCTTCATAATCCGTTTCTATTATTGTGGTTCTGATCTTTTTTTTTTTTTTCTATTTTTGGTTATTTAAAATGTTTTCCAGTTCCATTGTTAAATGTTCTTAAATTTATGGTCGTTATTATGATTATTATTATATTAGTTTTAAGTGGTCTCAAAAGAACAATATTATAGTTTATCACTATAATTTCTGGGACAGTTTATCCCAAATTTTTGCTGGACGACAAACTGCATCAGACATGATCATGATAAATGATAATATTATTGTCTTGAGACCGTTTCAGTATGGTAATGGCATAATAAAATAAAGTTCACCCTCTCAAAGATCAATAAACTTTAACTACTAACAAACACTTGCCAATGGAGCTGGAAGACATTTTGAATATCTAAAAAAACCCGAAACAAACAAAACAGGATACAAAACGGAAACTGAAGTCTCCGCAAATAAGATTCCCCTGGAAACCAATGCACCAGAAAGAGGTAGAAACACGGGAAAAACAACCAGTCCTGCAAAAGGAAATGATCACCCTTTTGATCAGACATCGCCACTGCTTTCTTCCCAAGCTGTCCGCTGTGCTCCTCGGTCTCCATGAAGCCGTTTGTTCACGTAACGGATATGGAGGTTTAAGTCCCACTCAGATGTGAGCACACAACTTTGAACCCACTCCAGATCTTTCTCTCTCAGCCTGCGTTGCCATTTTATTGGCTCCTCCATGGATACGGTCCAAGCAGAGATATACAGTATCGTATCAAAGAGCCATGTAATCAGAGAGGGCCGGTCAGTTCCTTCCTGCTGCCTCCGGTGGAACGTTGCTGTTTGTGCGTCTCTTCCCTTTGATTATTAGGTGTCAGTGTGTAATATCGACATTAATGACATATTATTTTGGACCTCTGACAAGTGTCCCGCCGCGGCGGTTTGGTAGTTAAAGCGCATGAGTCAAGCGGCAGCAGACGAGGTGTGCTGGGTCCTGGCTGCAGCGAAAGGCTCCTTCGTGTTGGAAACAGTCCTAATGTAGGTTTGTCTTTTCGACAGCTCAGGTCGGGGAACGTGTCTGGACAACGAGCCTCCAAAACGAGATTTCCTGTATCCGACGGTGGCCCCGGGGCAGGTGTACGACGCTGACGAGCAGTGTCGCTTCCAGTACGGAGCCTCCTCGCGTCAGTGCAAGTATGGGGTAAGAAGGCAGCGTCTGGCACGATGCAGTAATGCTTTAAGAATAATAATTTAAAAAAATCTAAACATTTCCCTCCTCCTGGCCCTCCAGAATATCACTTTTATGTTAAAACACCAATTATAGTTATGGTTATTTTTGTAGAGCAAAGAATGTTGCCATAACATCTCAGTGCTGATTCTACACAAGCATTTTATCCCTTATTCTTAGCTAAATTACCATTCATTAAGCTAAAATGAAATAAGTTTGGTGTAGAAATAAGTTTATTCTTCTACCCGCTCATTTGAGCGTGTAAATATACTTCACTGCTGCTCTTCTTTTGCTTGCATTTGTTTTAAATGTAATTATTTTTTGTATATAACTTCCAGTTTATTTATTACACTACATCCAATAAAGTCAAACTCAACTCAGCTTGACAATAAAACGTTTAACAGATCCATGTTGGTTTTGTTTATGTTATGGTAACAGCAGCAAAATTAAAACTGCTGGGAAACTGTCAGGTATTAGACAATCGATTACATTTTAGATTCCAGTAAACTGTAGAAATGACACGTCAATGGATGTAATAAATTATCCTTGCTTGGTAAAGTTTCCTTTAAAGAAGAAAGTAGTGACTAACCCAGGAATGCTAGTTGACAACATATCCAAAGCTAACGCTAGCCTAGCCATGCTAATGGCTAGACAAGGCATGCTAGCTGCTAGCCTGTGCACATGAGTAAACTCCTTCTCATTTGCTAGTTCACTCAGGTGGTTGCTTAGTTACCGGTACTAAGCAACCGGTAACTATCCAATAACATAGATGAATATGTGATTGGATGTAGTCTCCTACGACAACAAAGTAGCTACCGCTGGCTAAACAATAGTTTAAATTTTAGAGCTTGTATGGGATGAAATGTAACAAGCTACATAACTTAAAACGTATTAAATAAACTATTTTATACACAGTAAGATTTTTGCAATATGTTGGTGTAGATCCTCAGTAATCCAGGAAATAAAAAGTCTTGACAGTTTTAAATGAAGGCAGCTGGACTTCTTTTGAAGATGTTTCTCCTCTCATCCAGGATGACTTTTCCCAGTTCTGTAACTTGAGTTGGAAGAAACCATCACACAATGACCTCATGATACAAGGCTCCTGTGTAGTCTTATGATTGTGTCATTTACAAATTTTCATAAATAAGGTTTTAAATGGACCTAAAGATAAAGCCTGGAAAACAGTTCATTTAAGAAATGAAAACACGAGTTAAATACTGGTTAAGATCTTAAAATAATTAAATAGTGACACTGAATGATCACACATGGAGTCAAATATCACAATTATGTAAATATAGATTATTGCATAAGGTACAATAAAATAAGCTACGGTAAATAGTTATAAAGGACTTTAGATTTATTTACATGAAGCAATAACTTCTTTGCACTTCAAAATATTTTTTTTCTGCATCATTTCTAGCCATCGATACCAGGAAACATTTAGAAAAAACGAACAGATTGGTATCAGTACAGGAAACAAGGAAACTAAAGTTCCAGACACATCAGTAATATGAATGAGAAACAAAAGTGGTCCCAAATGGCTCCTTGTGGGACTCCACATCTTATTAAAGCAGGGATAGATGTACATCCACCAATCCTAACAAACTGGGGTCAATTGTTAAACAGCCATTTGAAAATGTTCCTATAAATCCAGAAGGTTAGCAGATTTAACATTGAAAGTGTGGGAAATAAATGTCTAATTATTATTTTTTTATTTGTTTACAAGGCTGTAAAGTTACTAAATAATTAAACTTTCAGTCCACCTTCTGCATGACTTTGAAACAGGCAGTCAAAAACCAAGAGCAACTTCATGGCAAAACGTGAAGACTTTTCAACAATTGGACCCAGATTGCTGGTCATTACATAAATATTTTGGCACAAACCAGGGAAAAAGAAGTCAACTAATCTCCGCTAAACAGGGATTTGCTAAGAACATGAGAGATTATCTGGGTTATTTCATTTTATTGAAAGAAATATCTGACAGCAGATTACGACAGACTCCAAAATGACGTCCTGTTATTTTCCTCTAAGCTTATAATTGTGGTTTTAGATCAGGATGACAAACACGCAGTTATGGAGACGATCCAACACAGCAAGACTGGAGGTTTTATTATGGAAATCAAATGATAATGGATCATATGATTGATATGCTCCCCCTATGATCGCAGCTCCAGAGGAGACCAGCTCTAATAGGTTAAAATGCCTCATTTGTGGATCAAACACCAACTATTAACTGTTTTTTTAATTGTTCTTATACTATTATATTATATTACTACCAATACCTGGTAGTTTACATCTTGCCCATTTAAGCATAAATAAATGTGCAGAGTCATTTTATGGTTGCAGTATTTCACTGGTAAAAGATGTTGCCTAACACTTCATTCCTCTGGCTCAGTGTGTGAAATAACAGAAAAAAAATGATTTGCAGGGTTAAAGATGGAGAAAATGCAAAATTATATCCAGAAATCTGCTCTACGTTCATTAATCTTCTGCGTAAAAAATGTACTGCCACGCGTGGATAAATAAAGCAGAGTTGCTTAGATGAAGAATGATAAAGTGAGATCCGTCAGTATTTCATATTTTATTAGCAAAGAAAGAAAAAGGTAAATTTAGCCCTAAATAAGCAAAGAGATACTTCTTTTACAGCTTCTCTTTTTTTTGTTGGGAACTTTCTTCTGCAAAGTTTTTTTTTCTCTTAGCCTATAAATTACAGAGGTGTGGGAATGAGCTGTTTGTGCGTTGTCACACATAACTCAGACGTGTAAGATTTAACGGAACGAAAACCCGCTTGGCTGTCTACTTCGTTTTGTTTGGGATTCAAACAAACATGATCTCATGAAACTGCGTAATAAAAAACAGCAGCCTGACATCTGCCCAGTATCATCCTAGCACATTTTAATTATGTGTGCTTTACTTTTTGTTCCCTTTAAGTTATTGTGCAAGTTAGAGGTCAGAGGAAGGAAAATAACACCGTGGCGTGTTTGCTTTATGTCGATGGACGGCAGAATATTGCTGTAACCTGTCCCATTGTCACAATGAAATAAAAATAATTTGATGTATGTTTTGTAAATAATAACAGCCCCGGCATATAAGACTAAATCGATGTGCTGATTTGAATCATTATTGCCTACAGTTTTTAAAGAGATGCCAAGGAAGTACTGGAGACAATCCTGCATCCTTGCTACTTTGATAAGATTTTAAAATAATTAGAAAATTAGCATCCAAATATTTAAGATAGATATTTCAGGAGTTGATGTCTCAGCAGTTTCACCCCAAGGTCAGACCAAGTGATATTCGAGTAAATTAAATCTCAGACTGTACAGACAATGCTAACGTTTAGCTGTGATGCATGTAATTCACCAGTTGGGCGTTATGACGCTTACTGGAAGTCGCCTCCGCTGCCAGTAACCGCCTCCACTGCGACGAGAGAAGTGCCAAAGAGAGGCAGCCATTAATGTTAATTCAGCGTTTGGGGGGGTGGCCAACACGGACTGGATTGAATGAATGGCTTTGTTCACTTCTTTTGCCCATCGCTAAAACTACAGGCACACTACAATTCTAAATTAGTGAAGAAAGACAATGTCATCGATCATGACCTCTCCTTCTGTTCACTGATTGACCCGGTAGAAATTCTACCAGAGACAATCCAAGTAAATGGGAGAAATTCCAGAACATCCTGTGAAAAGAGATTAAAGTCGAGCAGAATTGTGTCGGAAGGCAGTGGCCAGGCTCGAGGGTACCTTTAGATTGAAATTTAAAGAACATGAAATATTTAATTTCTTTGAGGCTAGCTAGAACCTGCTTGATCGGCATGCCCAGTAAGGTGCATTCCTGAAAAGAAATAAAGGTTTGTTAAAATTTACCACAATGAAAAAGCAAACCTTTCTTGAGCTGAAGAACTCACAGGCAGTACATTACTTTGTGTTTTTGGTATTTTGGTGGGGAATTGCCCAACAAAGTTTGGAAACACTGGTGCAGACCAACACGGCTGCAATATTTCACTGACTATGGGCTTTAGAGGCTTTAACTAAATGCACCCATGTTGACGACAGAGCACCGGGGGGTCGTCACGGACTTTAAATCTCAGCTTGAGACTGCGTCAGAGGTTGGAAAAGCATTACAGTCGTCAAGAGAGGATGTTTGGGTCTTTTTACAGCAGTAATTTAGCTTCGTGGATCCGTCCCATCGTTGAGTCGCACTGGAAGCTTACCGGCATAGATGGGAGATCTTCCCAAGTGCAATGGAAACTGAAACCTTTAAAATAAAACAAACAGCATTTGATGGCTGCATTAGAAAAGTCTTTTTTTTTTTTTTTAACGTCAGCTTGTTGTTGGCTAGCATAAATCCGTCCTAGCGCTCATCCCCATTCTTTGAGGTCTGGATGGCTTGACCTTTGAGTGTGGCTGATGATGGTGAACGGAGCAGCGCGGTGGCTTATTGAAAGCAGCTGGCAGAAGGGGAGAACTTGCAACCTGAGAGTGTCAGTTTGCTGCTTTATTTAATATGGACAGGCTCAGGGAGCTGCGGGCGTATTTACTGACCCCGGGGCTCAGGATCTATGCGTCGAGCCGTAACTCTCTTTCATTTGCCACTTACAACTGTCCCGTAAAAAAGCCTTTGAAGTCAAGAGATGGGGGAGCAATCCAGTTTGGCTTAATGGGAAATCTAACAGGGCTGTTCTGGTAGCACGGATGATCCGTTTATGGCGTTATTTATTTGGGGGGGCAAATTGGTACTGCCTTCCTTTTCTGCGGTAATCCAAATGGATTCTATACGGGTTCTAGGAGCGATGCCTAAGAACTACTCAGCAGAACCGGCCCAAGGCATATGATAGCGAAGCGGCTGCTCACTGCTTAGGGATCCCACACCACCAGGGTGATGACTTTATGCTACACACAGAACTGTTGCCATAGCAACTGACTGACAACAGCTCCACTAGTGTATCAGGATTCAACACAAAAAAACATGCAAATTAAAACCACTCAAAGCATAGAGCACTCACTCTGTTACAGTATTATGCTTTCAAGCTCTGAGTTTATATTGCAATTATTAATAAATGATCGTCTGAACACAGTGGTTGATCAGCTAATTTAAACCCCTGCTCTACTGTCACATCTGTCACAGTTGGCGTGTGAGTTGCCTTTTCTTTTTTAACTGAATCGAAACACACCGAATTCTGCAGCACATCTACATGTTAAATTATCAAAGTCAAGCTAGCATAGCTGACCTACTTCCCTCTCCCTCACTAATTTTTAAATTCAAACTTTTTCTCGATCTTGAAATCTAGTTGTCATAGTGTTCACGGTTAGCAGCAAAGAACTGCATCCCATTTTCTTTTATATGTCACACGTACATTTAAGATTTAATGTTGACAACTTCACAGCTAAAACCCATGGCTGTCATTGTGACGTCGCATTAGAATGTGACATTTAAGAATGTCACTTTGAAATGTTTTAAAAATGTTTTAAAATATATATATATTTTCTAGAATAAAAATGTTAAAGAAATGAGTTTTTTTTAAGTAACATTGGATAATACCATGGAAAAACAATTTCTCTGTTGTTTTTTATAGTTGGTAGACAACAGATGAATCTCTTCCTGCTGTTGGGATCTGCTACAGTTCAGGAAATGTTAGACATCAAACTTGTCAACTTGTTCACTGTAAATTTAATGTTTATCAGCAGATGTTACTTTCAAATCATTAAAATAATATGGCACACTTTAATACCACTCATTTCTGCAATTCATAACAGGTGTGTTTATACACAAAGAGTAGCGTATGAATGATTAAGCATCAGGTGTTGACATTTTGGCACAAAGGCCCCAAATGAAAATCTGCTTAGGGCCCCAGAAAGGCTTAGTCTGGTCCTGCTGCTCAGTCATACTGCAGATGTCTGTCAGGCCTTGGAACTTGTCTTTATCTTAGACTTGGGAGGCCTGTTGCTCATCCATGGTTTCCCATAATGAGGCGCCAAAATGGGGATTTCTTGAACTGATGTCACGCTCCCATGTGGTTCTGAGGCAAATGCGGAAAAAAAGGAAAAAAAATGTTAGTCATGCTGTTGATCCAGCTGACTCTTCATTTCTCATAAAAGCACTGTATGACCCTTGGCTTATTGCTTAAGATGCACTGTGATCTAAAGCATATGGCCTGTTAATGTCAGAAGACGAGACGCGGTCTCAACTCCTCTTGCTTTCTGATTTCATCTCAAATCATGTCGATTTATAGATGAATTTCTGTCATTTGTCTTCTTTTTTTTTTGCTGATCTCACAGCTGCCAGGCAGCATAAGAAAAACACCAAGAGGAAAACCACAAAAATCCAATGATAAATCATCCTCACTCTTTTCCCAACAGTTCGCCCCCCGCAGCCTCCCAGTCTGCCGATGTGATTTATTCTGACCAACTTGCTTTTTGCCTTCTTTCCTAGGAAGTGTGTAGAGAGCTCTGGTGCCTTAGCAAAAGCAACCGCTGTGTAACTAACAGTATCCCGGCTGCAGAGGGGACTCTGTGCCAGACTGGCAGCATAGAGAAAGGGGTAAGTCAGCATATGGTTATTGTTTTTTTTTGTTTTTGTTTTTTTTTGCATATAAAGATTAATGCAAACAACCCAAAGGAACTCCTCTCCCAACTATTCCACAGTTTCTTTTCACAACAAGTCACCCACAGGTAACAACTGGTTAGAAGATTTAACCTCATCTTAAACCAGAGATGTTTCAAAGTGTGGCCAGGGGGCCATTTGTGGCCCTCTGGATGATTTTGTTTGGCCCCCTGGCCCACAATTTAAAAATTAATTTGAGATTTTTACATCCAAATAAAATCTTCTTAAACATTTATTGAAGTACAAGACAAAGTATTAAGAGTTTCTGTTTTATTACATTTTGCTAATTCCAATAAGCACTGCTTAACCTTTGTTATCAAAAGTAGAGAGAAAAAAAAGAGAAGAAACGAGGACGATAAAACCCCAAAAAGTTTTGGACAATATTTACTTATTATTAAATACAGCAACTATGTAAGACCCAGTTTTTATAAAATTAGCTTACTTTTGGTTTATTAAGATAAAGTCTATTTAATATGTTATTGAAGAGATAAAAACAAGGAATGAGTTCAGTCCAGATGTTGAAAATCTGATGAAAAAAAGGATTAAAAATCCACTTTTAGTGTTTCGACAGATAAAGTTAAGGTTTCATATATCCAAAGCCGTATTAAAGTCAGTGTGGGATCTTCCAGCTTAGATTTTATTTTTTTAATATGATCAAATGCAGTCCAGATTCATGAAAGAACTGAAAACAGTCATTTAGCTTCGCACCACTTGGAAGCTGCAGACAGCTAACGGTTAACCAGTCGAGGAATTAGTTTGTGTTTCATTTTACACTGTGTCCCAGCATCCTTAAAGCCGTAATACCTAAAGCTAGCCTTCACAGTTGATGCATCTAAGCTGGCAAAAAAATCACTGTTCACCTCCTCACCTGTGGTGGCGCTGCACCAAGAACTACAGAAAGAAACCACATGAAAACCTCTGAAGAAGATTTCATTCCTCGCAAAATGTAAACAAAAATGGAGTGGCATTAGTTTTTAGCTGTTGTAGGATTTCTCTTTTGTCTTTAGCTAAAGACTGCGATCCATTTCTCCTGCTAGCAGTTCACTCAGACATTTGTTTTGGTTGTATTTTACCCAGAATGCCTTGCACTATAGTCAGCTTCCTGCTTTTGGAACAGGAAGCTGCTCCTGTTCGCGTGGCATTCACATGTCCATTTGAACCACACCAGAGTTCACTTCAACTGAGCCGAGGCCGAGGTTTATAGGCCGACCAGAGTTCGTTTCATTACGCATTCACGTTGGCTACGTTTTAAAACCATCTAATATTTTTCTACACTTCATCATTATGTACTTTGGGTGGATCTATGAAATAAAATAGTTTTTCTGGTAGTAAGTTCAAGGGAAATATGCACTTTTGCATGGCATCATAGACATACATGCCTTACATTTTAAGACCTGTGGTCTTTCTTATCAGCTTTTCTTCCTTTAACCCTTTTGGTGATCATTTGTTTGGTGACATTCACCAATCTCAACTTCCACAAGGTTTCTTTTCCATAAATATGCTCTCCTCCAGTTGCTGCTGCCAGTCACACACACACACACACACACACTCTCTCGCCTGATGAGCTGTAGGTCATCAGGCCTCTGATTATGCCAGCCAGGTTAGGGGGAGACAGTTTTAACGCGGATTATGGCGGCCATTGTGGCTGGACGGTCCGAGCTCCAAAAGGGAAGAATAGGAGAGCGTCACGAGCTGTCGCCTGTGATTACCATTAGCTGGTTGGAGCCTTTGAGGACCGCAGCTCACGTACGGGTGTCCTGGACAACACAGGGAGGCCCCAGGTTGAAACCATAGGGGCGGGGGGGCCTGCCCTGCTGGAGGAATATGATTGTCAGCCGTTTCTCTTCCAGCGTATGAAGAGCAGAGAAGCAGAGAGTTTGGAGGAAGAGACAATTGGAGGGGATAAGAGAGAGTCAAGCTTTTGAGTTTTTACTGTCTTCAAACGAACCCACGGATATGAATTATACTCTAAAGTTTTGAGTACTGATCCCTTCGTCCTCTCTCCCTCTGCTAATGCTGATGTTGTTTAGACAGAGCCTCGCCACATGAATGGAGCGAGTCAGACAAACAGAACGGTGGCCCTAGCGAAGCCCTCACCTTGACCGTTTCAGTTTCACTTTCAGCGAGACAATAACCCACTGACCCAGTTGGAGAGACAAAGGCCACTTTCTGATCCCCTCCTCCACCCCTAACGCTGACCGGCTTAGCTCCTGAAAAATAACTTGGCACTCTTTGTGTTCCTCTCCTGCTTCCTGAACCATCACACATCCACAGAAATTGTCAAGCCATGAGCTAGAATGTTTCAAATAGTCATAAAATAGGTGAAAGTTTTTCGTTTTTTATGAATATGTTTTAAATAAACAGCTTTTTTTTTAGTTATCCCACTACAGGGGTTGTGATGGCAGGTTTTCATAGATATTTTTTTTAATGTTTTTTATGTTTTTTTTTATGTTGCTTATTTCGTTGATATTTTAATCAAGTTCCTCTGCTACTTCATAACAGATTTAACTCCATACTAACAAAACCTTCCTTTTTTGTCCTCTACTTGTTTCCGCCCCTCCATGACCAGTGGTGTTACCAGGGAGAGTGCGTCGCGTTCGGCTCCCAGCCCGAGAGCGTGGACGGCGGCTGGGGGCCGTGGTCCTTGTGGGGAGAGTGCAGCCGGACCTGCGGAGGCGGCGTTTCTTCCTCCATGAGGCACTGTGACAGCCCAGCGTAAGTAGGCAAAAGTAAGCCACAGCAAGCCGAACACACACATCCAGGTCCTGCCTACAAGTGTGTGTTTGTGTCTACTCCGTTTGCTGCATGTGCGCCACATCCACGTGGGAGCAGAGCGACAGGAACCAGGCTGTTTTTGTTGAAAAATACGCTGTGAAATGTTTTTGGGGTGGATTCATTCCTTATTAACAGAGAGAGAGAAAAAAAACATTCAATTTATGTTTTATTAGCATTTGCTTTCATAAAGCTTGAGCTTTTGAGCTTTACATCGAGCAGAGAGATGTTGGAGTTGGGGATACGATCCATGCTTGTTCAGATAGATGGAAGAGATGTTTTGAACTTCCTCCGTCTCTCATCGGTCCTGCCTTCCCGCCTCCTTTTCAACTCCTCTGGGATTTGGTGTCGTAGTTCAGGTAGCATCTGAGATGCTAATCAGCTAATCGCCCCGATTTCCTTAATTTTTGGCAATCGGCCAAAACTTACATGTGAAGCTGATCATATCCACTGATCTTATTTTCCTTGGCAAAGGTCTAAAAATCAACTGCTGTCCTATGTTCTCTGCACTGAGAGGTTTGACTGTCCACCAGGTCACTTCTGCATGTTTACAGTTAGCAACAGTCAACCCACTCTTAACAACTCAACAATGTTCTTGCTATATTTAGCAACATTTATTTAGACCAACCAGAGCATCCCTGGCCTGCCTGCAGACATCTGGGGGTTTTTACTCGTCTTCCACTGTTGCATTCTGTTGTTTTGGAAGCAGAGGTGTTACATCATCCACACCACGGGAAGACAAAAAGGAAGAGACGGTGAATAAAATGGGAGGGAGAAGCAGGGTGGGAAAGGGAAGGCACCAGCGTAATGTGGACCACCTGTGTGCGGTAATCAGCGCAGCTCAGGCATCGGTGCAAAGTGGAGGGGAGGGATGAATAAACACAGCCAGTGGAGCCTCGAACACATTCATTACAGGAGCCTCTTTTGCACTGAAGTGGAAATAATCATGGAGGAAAAAGAGAGGCTAATGAAGGAGAAAGGAGGGATAAAAGAAGAAAAATAAATCCCTCAAAGACGGAGTGGAGGTAGGAAAAAACAAAAACGATTCTCTGAGAAGAGAATGCTTCTGGAGTTACAGACCGGTCGTCTCGTCCAAACCTAAATGTCACGTCACACTTAAGGGGTCTTGGCGGAGCTTGGGTTTCATGAATGAAACACAGACTCAGCACGGCAGCGCTTTCACACACAAACACGCTTCTGTGTCCCGGCAGAGACTTTGCCACCAAAACGTGTCCGTGTGTGGAGTCCAGCCACTTGCTCTTGTGCCGCATCCTAAAAATTGTAATTCGAGATGCTAAATTAACAATTTCTTTTTCCCCTCTCTCTCTTAGTTCCCCCCATTCATTCAAATCTCCTGTTCCTTTCAGCCCATCTGGAGGAGGCAAGTACTGTCTTGGAGAGAGAAAACGATACAGATCCTGTAACATCGACGTGAGTCCATTTTTATGAATTTACCTGAAGGGAGGACCTTTATCGTATCGTTTATCACTTATCATGGAAAACTTATCGCGATAAGAATTTGGATTTATTGTTGTCATGATAAATTTCAGTTATTGATGTTATATAGAAAGAAAGTAAGGTGACATTTTGATCGAAAATGTTATTTTCGATCATTTTTATCATTAAATTTTATTTTAATGATAAAAATTTATATATATATTTATATATATTGAAAATAACAGTGAATAATGCAAAGTAATAGCTATTACACTTGCAAAAAATTTATTTCCATAATATTTTGTATAGCTGTTACACAGTAAGTTAATCTTTTTCTGCTGTTGGTGGAAGTTTGTTAAACTTCCTAAATTTCTTACTGTAAATTCAATGTTTCTCAGCTGATATACTTTCAAATAGTGACAATATTATGGTACACTTAAATACCACTCTGCATTTCAAAATCCAAATAATTGTATTTTTTCTTTTTCTTTTGCTACTCTTGTAAGGTTAACATCAACTTCTGTAAAAACCTTGTTATGATGTTGGCTAATTAAATTATGCTAATCACAGCTAGAGTAGAGTAGCTGAAGAATGATGATTCTTCTGGTGTTGACATGTTGGTGGAGGGGGGGGCATCAAATGAAAATATGCCTATAGGGCCCCAAAAAGGCTTGGGCCGGCCCTGACTCTTTATTACATACATCTTGATCAACTGCAAAGTTTATTTTGATTTATTTATCATCTCAAACTCTTGAAAAGAAAGACATTTCTCATCTTTTCCTCAGTGGATTTTCTTACATTTCTACCTAAATTAGATCTGAGAGTGGATGGTTTATGTCACACGACTGTGAGATTGTGACATTCAGCGATAGACAAAGTTTTCTAACAGCATAGTCCTCATCATGCTAAGATGGAAAAAGTTGGGAGAAAACAAAGGGTGTTACAGATCTGACTCCCAGACGGAGATATTGGAGGACAATGGGTTCTTGTTCGGATGGGTAGCCATCCGGGCGATGATCGCACTGAATGGGATCCAGAGTTTCTTCCAGGTAATGGCAAAACCTCACAAAACCAACGACCAGCAGAGCAGCACTCTTACCAAATATGGTTCTGTGGCGGCAGCAGCCGCTGCACCCCATTCCTCATTAAAAGGAATATTTCTGGCTGCTGGAAGTTTTGTAAAATTGTTTCGGACCTTTTCACGTAGATATTCCAAGATCAAGGTCCGCAATGTCATTTATCGCAATAACCTCTGGGACAATCTATTTTCCAGCAACATTTCTTATTTTGACAGGCCTAAAGTGACTAAATTATTGCAGGAAATTCACTCATTTGTGCATTTTGTCTACTTTAGTGAGATATTTTAACTCACTGCATGTTTCCATACAAGTTCTCTTTAAGTGATTTTTTTTTTTTATTGTAAAGGTTTTGCTCATGAAATTGAACCAAGAAAATGTGGTTAATTATAGCTAATGTATAATTTTACAAGACAGGCACCTATGATTCTAATTTCACACAAGGCCAGGTTGGTTTATGTCATGATGTGTAGTTTAAAAGTGGACCCAAATGGAGAGACGCAGAGGCAGCTTGTAGACGGGGAATGTTTAATGACCGCGAAATGATGAAAAAACAGAAAAAAATCCCGAGGTTCACAGGGAGCCAGAGCAGAAAAAAAACCAGGAATCCAGGAGCAAAACAGGGCAGGGAAACAACGGGACGAGACTAAGAAACAAAGGAATAACTAGACACAAGAATTAAACATAACTAGAAACACTAAGAAGGACTGAATGAAAATAAAACAGAAACAAGACTGATCTAATCAAAGAACGCAGAATAATCAAACCTCTAAAACGACTCTAAAGACATAACGGTTTGGTTGTATTTATAATTTTCATGAGTTGTGGCATCAAACCTTTTTTATCTGAAACAGAGATGCACCAATCTGATACTAATATCCGTATTGGTTCCAACATTGAAAAAAAAATTCTATATTGGGTATCGGTGACAATGTACCCCATCTATAAGGGCAGATCTAATTCTATGTCATGCTTTATTAAATATGTTAAATCAAAACTAGAATTCCTAATTGCACTTTATGAACCATTTGAAATGTTTGTTTTTACATGTTTGACCAAACTTGTTAAGCTATTGGTGTATTTAAATGTGCTGTGCTGGTGGAAAGTTATCAAATAAATTTGTAATTCAGTACATTTATGTCTGTGTTTAAAAAAAGAAACATTTTAAGTCAACTCAGCTCTGTCTTTCTGTGTCGGGTTGGTATTGACCGATACTAAACCTCAGATATCGATACTGGTATCGGAAGTGAAAAAAGTGAATCGGTGCGTCCTTAATCTGAAACATCGCCTGGAAACAAAAGTACAAGCCAGTAGGTTTTATTGTTCCCCAGGTATGTCTGTGTTTATTCTCCTTTTATTTTACATTTTGTATCGCTAGTGACACTTCTGTCAGTCTCAGAGCTGATTTAAAAAAAAAAAAAATCAATTCCCAAAAATTTTCTGAAAGCTTCAGAGCTTTGCTTTGTGCAAATATTTAAGATGGCCGCAATCTGAGACCTCTGTTCAACTATTTCTGAAATTGTTTTTTTTTTCCTCTTGGTGAAAATTGAAATAGTTTAAGCCCTACTAGACGTTTAACCACAAATTTTATAAATAACAGCAGCGAGCAAGCGGCGAGTGCTTTCTTTGGAAAACAAACAAGAGGCCCCGACAGCCGCTTCATACCGCCGACCGATCTCCGTCCAGGGAATTCTGTGAGCGCGTGTGTGACGGCTCGGTGAAAACTACGAACGCTTACCCGCGCAGACTGCGGTTTGTGTTGTTTCTGTTTCTAAATCAGATCAATTATTTATCATAGAACCAATTCCCAATGAAAAGTAAGCTTTAGGGAAACGTGCCTGCGGACCACAGTTCCCACTGAGTCAATAATGAAACGCTGGAAGACGCTCAGATTTTTTTTTACATTTTATTTTATTTTTAAATTGTCCTTTGTTGCTGTCTGTGGGAGATCCTGTCGTTTTTATTGGCACATTTCTGTGAACTGGAGGAACTGGAGACGGAGTTATCATGATCGGCTTCCGCGTCGGTAAACTTAAACAAAGATATCGAAAGGTGTTTATGTAAACTTTGGTTCAGGAGAGTTTGGGAGGGAAAAAAAGATAAAATCACTGTTTTTATGCTTTTCATGCATTGTAGGATTGGAAAGTTATAATAAATATGAATAAAATACATTTTGGACACAAATGCTGTGCTTTGGCGTCAGCGCGAATACTTCATATTTAAGTGGAATTTCCAGAGGAGGCCAAAATTATTCATACGCTTGGGGTATTTTGGTTAAATAAATCTTTTAGCTTATTAACGTTTCTTCTGACTAAAAGTAATGTCATCTCCAGTGTTGACTGGGTGAGAGGATACAACATGGATCTTTACTTAACATGTCTCTGGGATTTGAATCACATGAAAATAAAAAAGAAGTGAATAATGTTTAAGCGTTTGATTATTAAAATCCTAAGCATTAAAAAATCTTTTTCTTTTTTTTTTTTTCCAGGCATGCCCAGCTGGATCTCAGGATTTCAGGGAGAAGCAGTGTGGTGATTTTGACAACATGCCTTTCCGTGGGAAGTATTACAACTGGAAGCCTTACACTGGGGGTGAGTTCACGACGGCAGCGCTTTTATCCACAAGATCCTCATGAAAGAAGCAACAATTACAGGCTGAAGCCAGCCCTTAAAGGGGCATTATTATGGAAAATTGACTCTCTTGAGCTTTACATCGTATTTTAAAAACACACCTGGAGTGATGCTTTGACTCTTTCATTCATGTTTGAAAAATCCTTTAGTCTCCGTGGCAACCATTCAGCTGTGCAAAACACCTGGCTATATATATAGATATATATAGCT